AGCTTACTTTTAAATCCAAAGAGTTGTATTCTGATTGGCTGAAACTGCCAGGTGTCTGACTCTCAGACGCTCTTCCTTTGTACTTTGTCAAATATTCTTTCTAAAAGGCTCTGAACTTTGTAGCCCCGGCTGGTGTGGCTCAGTGGTTGGGCGATGTCCCGCATACAGAAAGGTCGTCAGTTCGATTCCTTGTCAGGGCACATGCCTGGGTTGCAGGCCTGGTCATGGTCAGGGTGCGCATGAGAGACAACCAATCAATGTTTCCCTCCCTCTCTTTCTCCTTCCCTTCCCCTCTCTCTAAAGATAAGTAAATAAAATCTTTAAAGTAAATAAATAAATAAAAGTCTCTGGACTTCGTGGCAACACTTTATTAATACAAACTTCACACATTTGAAAAGACATAAATTCAGACTTGAGCTAAAGTTTACCTCTGCATTCTAATAGTGAAAAGGCTGGCTAAGAAAACAGTGTAAATAAGATTGCAGGGAGAAATGTTTAATGATGTTTTTAAGCATTTCAGGAGTCTAATTTACATACAATTAAAGTTAAATTGCACATCATTCTCAGCTATTCATTAAACCAGGTACAAGGACCTCTATCTAACAAAATAACCTGGTAACACTATTAGCCTAGTTTCAGCTACTGTATGACTCAAAGTAACAGCTGCACCGAAAGAAAAAGAACATACAACACTCACTAGGATTTACCCCAATTAGCCCAAATTAATGAGGTCTGATTGTACCTCCAATGATGACCCACAAAACCTATCTTCTCCTGATGGCCTAGAGTCGGAGCACAAATGCAGTTAACCACCTGTCCTAGAAGCTAGGTATAGGAAGCAAGACAAAATAGCAATGCCATAGAGCTAAGAGCCAGACTAGGGGCTAGGGCTCTAGGTCAGATTATGTTGCTACATCTGTGTGACCTTGGTTAAATCTCTCTACTTCTCTAGCCTCCAGTTTCCTCATTTATCAAGTGAAGGAGCCAATAACAATGTGGTCTCCAAATACAATGTGTCACTAAAAGGATCCAGAGCTTTTCCATTAAAAGAGAGGAAGAGTACAAGAAGAGTATGGAACATCTTATCATACTAGAAAGTAAGGAACACTATCAAAGACTACTATAATTATGTCAAAGAAATGTGGAGCCAACTTGAAGAGGCTCCCGCTGGTCCAAGATGGAACAAACTGAACACCAGTAAGAATAACTTCATTGGACTAAAACATAACAAATATGTTAAAAGTCATAAATTCATAATGCTGCTTTAAAAAAAAAAAGAAAGAAAGCTCACGGATCCCCTTTGGAGTATGTCAGGGAACCAACTTATTTTGAAGATTTGTAAATAGAGGAATAAAAAGGGAAGAATCAAGTATTTATCCTGCCTTTCCTACACAAATCAAACCTCAGGGTTACGAAAGAGTTGATAAGGGAAAGGTTTTTTTTAGTATTTCAGCTAACAAATGAAGAAAGAATGATAGATTTAGAATATCATCATTTTGCGAACTTCGAATGAAATAAAGGATCTAGGTAATTGTTATCCATGATCACTTACAACACAAAAAGAGACATGTGGACATTATAAGCCTCATGATGGACGAATACAACACCACTTACAAAGTACCGGTATTACTGGCAAAGCAGGAACCTGGTTCAGGTCAAGCTTCTAGAGCTGTGCTGTCTGACAAGTAGCCACTATGCACATTGTAGGTATTTACGGCTTGAAATGAGGCTCGTATGAATTGGTATGTGCTGTAACACACACCACATCACAAAGATTTACTATAAAAAAAGAATGTAGCCCTGACTGACGTGGCTTAGCTGGTTAAGCATCATCCTGCAAAAGGAAAGGTCACTACTGGCTTGATTCCTGATCGGGCACACGCCTGGGTTGTGGGCCACTCCCCGGTTGGGGCATATGCAAGAGGCAACAGATCGATGTTTCTCTCACACACTGATGTTTCTCTCCCTCTTCCTCCCTTCCTCCCCTTCTCTCTAAAAATAAATAAGTAAAATCTAAAAAGAAGTAAAATATCTCATTAATAATTTTTATATTAATTACATGTTGAAATGATAATAGTCTGCAACTATTGGGTTAATATTATAAAAATGAATTTCTTCTTACCTTTATAATGTGCCTACCAGAAAACTTAAATTTCATTTGAAGCCTGAATATTTCTATTAGACAATACTGCTTTATTTCTAACAAGCAGTTTATGGGGAATACAAGGGATAGAAGCACATAAATGAATCACAGAAATTCAAATAGCGAAATCCAGAATGAGAAAACTACAGAACAACAGAACAACGTGCTTTCTTCAACAACAACAAAATACAAGGGAAAAAAGAGTCAAGAGAACCTAGCCAAATCAATGTATGGACGGTTTTTGGAAGCTGATTCAAATAAATCAAATGTTTACAGACAAAGGGAGACAGGGATGAAGGGAAAGAGAGAGAAAGAGAAAGCCACTGTGTAAACCTGAACACTAACTGGATATTTGATGAGGCACTATTTATGGGTTTTTTAAAAGTGTACTTAACTTTTATCTTTTAGAGCTACATAATGAAATTATTTACAATATAAATAATATGATGTCTGGGATTTGTCTCAAAACTTCCAGTGAGGATAACAGTCTAGGTGGCACAGATGAAACAAGAGTTGACAACAGTGGGAGCCGAGTGATGGCAATACAGGGATTCATTATGTCATCCTCTCTGAATCTGTGTATCTTTGAAAATTTATATAATTTTTTTAGTAAGAAAAAGTTTATCTATAAGGACACTTTCAGCTCTTGAATCTGCAAAAATCTATGAAAATAAATCATGGGGTTGATTAGTTCCTCAAGAGGTCATTCAATCTAGTTTTCTGCCTCCAGGAACAATATCTGCAATATTATCTCACTCAACAAATATTTATTAACTACTAAGTACAAAGGCCCTAAAATTGTAGATGGATAGAGATATAAGAGGTAATTTCTGTTAAGGAGCTCAGCATATAGGAAAGACAAGAAAAGTAAAAGTAACCAAGTTATGGTTTACTTCTGATTAAATAAATCATAGAAGGCATCATTGAGGAGTGTCATATAACTGGGCATTAGAAATAGTCAGGGCCCTAGCCGGGCAGCTCAGCTGGTTAGAGCATCATCCCAAAACACAAAGGTTGCTGCTGGATCCCCACTCAGGGCACATACAAGAAGAAACCAATGAATACATAAATAAGTGGAACGACAAACTGATGTTTCTCTCTCTCCCTCTCTCTCTCTCTCAAAATCAATAAATTCAAAAAATTTTTCATAGATTTTATTTATTGATTTTTAGAGAGAGGGGAAGAGAGGGAGAGAGACATAAACAAGAGAGAGAAACACTGATCAGAAACATCCATCAAGTTGCCTCTCACACACCTCCAGCTGGGGGCCTGGCCTGCAATCAAGGCATGTACCATGACTGGGAATCAAACTGGCGGCCCATCTGTTTGTGGGACCATGCTCAACCCACTGAGCCACACCAGTCAGAGCCAATAAATAATTTTTTTTTAAATAGGCAGAATTTGGACATGCAGAGACAAGTATTTTATCGAAGATGGACAATGTGAGCAGAAATGTAATGAGATATTTCTGGGGAACAAAGATGAGTACAGTATTGCAAAAGTAGTGGGAAGCAAGGCTAGAAAGACAAGTAGGGCCAGGTCAGAGAATCTTAAATATCAAGCTGAGTCTGTACTTTAGTCATTAAATGAGGAGAGTCACACAAATGGAGTCATAGGTTATAGAATATTTAGGAAGATGCTATACATTCCACTTAAGCACAGAACAGAATGGAGCTGGGAAGGGAGACTGGAAGTAGGAATAACAATCAAGGCAAAAAGTAACCCAAGTTCTGAGCTGGAGTACTGGGAGAAAAGGACAGGGAGGGACCTGAGAGTTTCCTGGCATGAAAAGAGATAGGGAATTCAGGGAAGTCAACAGTAACTAAGACTTTACATCTGAATGAACTGGGAAAATAGTGGAGCCAATGTTTGGTATGTTGGCAGTCCTATGCCTGTCCTGAGTGAATGAATGAATACAAACAGGTGCGTCAGGATAAAGGGTAGCAAGTCACGGGAGGGAGGGGAGCAGTGGGGGACAGCGGGCAAAAGAAAGGCTCACCCGGCAAAAGAAAGGCTCACCCTTCACATTTTAACCTATGAGGAAGCCAAGGTCCTAAAGAAAAATGCTGCCCAAGTGTGCTAAGTATCTTTCTTAGAAAAGCAAAGGCTCCATCATTGAAACTTGTATAGAAAGTATAAAATTCATCCGTAAAACCTACAAACATATCTCCCAAGCAAGACGACAAGCTGTACCAATCTCACCACTAGTTCTCAAAAGCAAACAGTTGATGAAAAGCTTGAGATGCAAAAGGGATAGCTTGGTGGTGTGATCCAATAAGAATTCTGGAACCAGGCCCTGGCCAGGTAGCTTAGTTGGTTAGTGTCCTCCTGCTATGCCAAGGTTGTGGGTTCGATCCCCAGTCAAGGCACATACGAGAATCAACCAGTGAATGCATAAATAAGTGAAACAACAAATCTCTCTCTTCCCCTCCCCCCATATCTCTCTCTCTATTAAAAAAAAAAATCAATAAAATACTCAGGTATCTCTTTAAAATGCTTTATTAAAAAAAGAATTTGGGGACTATGGTATGTCAACAGCAACAGAAAAATTATCTTTTAATTTTTAAAAAATAATTCTGGGGCACTGGCCAGGTAGCTGAGTTGGTTATAGTGCCATCCTGATACATCAAGGTTGTGGGTTTGATCCCAGGTCAGGGCACATACAAGAAGCAACCAATGAATGCGTAAGTGGAACATTTCGATGTTTTCCTTCCCTGCCCAGCTCTCTCCCTAAAATCAATAAAAAAAATATTTTTTTTAAAAAGAATTCTGGGCCCTGGCCAGTGTGGCTCAGTTGGCTGGAGTGTTGTCTTATAACCAAAAGGTTGAGGGTTCAGTTCTTGGTAAGGGCACATACCTGGGTTGTGGGTTCGATCCCAGTCTGAGCATGTACAATCCTGGGTCCAGGTGCATATGGGAGGCAACCAACAGATGGTTCTCTCTTGCATCAATGTTTGTCTCTCCCCCTTCCTCTCTCTCTAAAAACAATGAAAAAATGTCCTCAGGTGAGGATTAAAAAAATAATAAAAATTTAAAAAAAAAGAATTCTGGGACTGGGGTTCAGAGGTGGAAATACAGGTTTTGGAATTACTACATAGAAGCTGTAGTTAAAGACATGAGAGAGAAGATGAGCTCCCAATACAAATGCACACACAGGCCTGGCTTCCTAGCTCAGCTGGTTAGAGCATTATCAGGATACACCAAGGTTGCGGGTTTGATCTCCGGTCAGGGCACATACATGAAGCAACCAATAAGTGCATAAATAAATGGACCAATAAATAAGTATTTCTCTCTTTCTTTCCCCCATTCTCTAATATCAATTTTAGAAAAACAAAAGACCAACAGCAATTTTTTAAAAAGAAAAAAAAACACAAACAGAGAAGCAAGGTCAGAACACAATTTGGAGAGTGATACTGAAAGAAGCATCAAGGAAGGTAGAAGGAGAATCAGACCAATGCTTCGTCCTAAAAGGTAAGAAAAGTTTCCAGAAGGAAAGCATGCTAATCCGTGTCTTACATATCTAATCCATCATCAAAATTTATACAAAATACATCCACTTCTTTCCATTTCTTTTTACACCAACCTAGTTGAAGTCTCCATCACCAAATGGATTTCATAACAGCCTTCTGTTACTCACCCTCCATCAATTCCTACCCCTAGATAATCCATTTTCTTTGCAACAACTGGATTAATCTTTTCAAAACGGAAATCCTATTATATACACCCTCCTCCCACCCCCACTTAAAAACTTTTTTATTTTATTGATTATGCTATTGCAGTTGTCCCATTTTTCTCTCCCCTTTACTCCCTTTCACCCTATATCACCCCACTGCCCAACATTACCCCCGCCCCTTAGTTCATGTCCACGGGTTGCACATAACAAGTTCTTCGGCTTCTCCATATCCTAGACTATTCTTAACCCCTCCCCTGCCTATTTTGTACCTATTTGTGCTATTTATTCCTTGTACCTTTTCCCCCATCTGCCCCCTCCACCTCCCCTGTTTTACTGTTCAGTTTCTTATCTTCTTTTTCTTAGATAAGTCCCTTTAACATTTCATGTAATAAGGGCTTGGTGGTGATGAACTCCTTTAACTTGACCTTATCTGGGAAGCACTTCATCTGCCCTTCCATTCTAAATGAGTTTCGCTAGACAGAGTAATCTTAGATGTAGGTCCTTGCTTTTCATGACTTTGAAAACTTCCTGCCAGTCCCTTCTTGCCTGCAAGGTTTCTTTTGAGAAATCAGCTGATAGTCTTATGCGAACTCCTTTGTAGGTAACTCCTTTTCTCTTGCTGCTTTTAAGATTCTCTCCTTATCTTTAACCTTGGATAACTTATTTATGACGTGCCTTGGTGTGCGCTTCCTTGGGTCTAACTTCTTTGCGACTCTCTGAGCTCCCTGGATCTCCTGGAAGTCTATTTCCTTTGCCAGATTGGGGAAGTTCTCCTTCATTATTTTTTCAAATAAGTTTTCCATTTCTTGCTCTTTATCTTTTCCTTCTGACATCCCTATGATTCGGATGTTGGGTTGTTTAAAGTTGTCCCAGAGGCTCCTAAGCCTAATCTAATTTTTCATCTAATTTTTGTGAATTATTGTTTCTTCATTCTGTTCTGGCTGAATGTTTCTCTCTTCCTTCTGCTCCAAATCATTGATTTGAGTACCGGATTCCTTACCATTACTCTGGTTCCCTGTATATTTTTCTTTGTTTCATTTTGTTTAGCCTTTGCTTTTTCCTCCATTTTGCGACCATACTCAACCAATTCAGTGAACATCCAGATTACTAGTGCTTTGAACTGTGCCTCTGACAGATGGGTTATCTGTTCATCACTTAGTTCTATTTTTGTAGCTTTGATCTGTTCTTTCATTTGGGCCATATTTCTTTGTCTTAGCTTGCCTGTTATGTTGGGAGGGGCAGAGCTTTATGTATTCACCAGGGCAAGAGATCCAAGCACTGAGTTGTGACACTATGTGTGGGGGAGGGGCCCTAGAGGGAATAATGCTTCCGGCTTTCAGTCACTTCCCCCACTACCCACAAGCAAACTGGGCCCTTCTAGTGCTGATTCTCAGGTGGGTGGGTTTGTGTATGTTCTAGTACCCTGTAGGTCTCTCCAATGGACTCTCCTGTGAAGTGGGAGCTTCTCCTGTCACCGCAACCCCCACCAGTTTTTACCTCCAGAGGTTTTGAGGTAAAACCTGCAGTGTGAGGCTTTCTTTTCCCACACTGCAACCCTGGATTGTGTGGTCTGTCTTGCTCCCCAGCCGTTCCTCTGGTGTAGGACCGCCCAGTCACCGGCTGTCACCTTGCTGCACATCCTCTCCACCCCCGCTGCCCGTCTCTGCTCCTCCTACTGGTCTGGATAGATGTTTCTTCTTTAGCTCCTTGGTTGTAGAATTTCCATACAGTTCAATTTTCTGGCCTTTCTGGGGTTTTTTTTTTGTTTTTAAATTTGTTGTCTTTCTTTTGGTCATGTGAGGAAGCAGTGTATTTACCTACGCCTCCATCCTGGCCGGAAGTCTAAAACTTTTTTTTAAGTGACTAAATATTTCAAGATATTGGGGTGTGACAATGCTGGTATAATTATGTTCCAATGGGGAAATACTTGTATTTGAGAGATATATGATGAAATATTTACTAATAAAATGAGGTCTGAGATGCGCTTGAAAAATAATAAAGGCAAATATGTATGAACTTATTCTATGAGACCAGTATTATTCTGATGTCAAAATCAGACAGTGGCTTTTCCCCTAAGATCAGGAGCAAGGCTATGATGTCCTCTTTCATCACTTCTGTTTAACATTATACTGGAGGTTGTAGCCAAGGCAATCGGGCAAGAAAAAGAATAAAATACATGAAATTGGAAAGAAAGAGGTAAAACTCTATTTGCAAATAACATGATTTTGTATATAGAAAATGCTAAAAAATCCACCAAAAAAACCCCTTTAGAACCAAAGTAGCAGAACACAAGATCAATATACAAAAATTAATTGTATTTGTACGTTTACTTTTGGGACATTCTCCAAAGAAGATACACAAACAGCCAACAAACACATGAAAAGATGCTCAACATCATTAGTCATTAGAGGAACACAAATCAAAACACGAGATATCACTTCAAACCCACTAGAATAACTGTAATTAAAAAGACAAATAAGAGCCCTGACTGATGTGGCTCAGTCGGTTGGGCACTGTCCCACAAAAGTGAAAGGTCGCCATTTCAATTCCCAGTGAGGGCACGTGCCTAGGTTGCAGTTTCAGCAACCAACTAATATTTTTCACTCACATTAATGTTTCCCTCCTTCTCTTTCTCCCTTCCTTCCCCCCTTTCTAAAACTAAACAAATAAAATCTTTTTTAAAATTAAAAAAAAGACAGATAAGAAATATCGGTGAAAATGAGGAAAAACTGAATCATACACTGCTGGTGGAATGGTACAGCCACTTTGGAAAACAGGCAGTTCCTCAAATATAGTGTTATAAGAACCAGCAAATCCACTCATAGGTATATACTCATGTGAATTGAAAACGTTTGTCCACACAAAAAAAGATGTGTTTATGAATATTTATAGTGGTAACAACCCAAATTCCCATCAACTGATGAACATATAAATAAATGTGATGATCCATACATCGGAATACTATTCAGCCATAAAAAGGAATGGAGCAGTGACACATGCTTCAATATGGATGAACCCTGAAAACATTATGCTAAGTAAGAGAAACCAATCACAAAAGACCACATGTTGTATGACTGAATTTTTATGAAATGTAATAGGCAAATAAACACAGTGAGTAGATGAATGGTTGTCTTGGGCCAGGAGGGAGAGAGGAATGGGGAATGACTGCTAATAGTTATGGGATTTCTTTCTGGGATGATGAATATGTTCTGGAATTAAACAGTGGTGATGGCTGTTGCACAACCTTGTGAATATACTAAAAAACACCAAACTACACACTTTAAATGGGTAAACTGGTTTGACATATAATTGTATCTCAATTTTTAAAACCAAGAAGAAATGTCCATACAAAGACTTGTACACAAATGTTCACATCAGCTTTATTTATAATAGCCCCAAATTGTAAGCAACCCTAATGTCCATCAACGGGTGAGCAGATAAACAAATTCATATATTCATATATGGATTACCACTTGGCAACTACTGATACTTGCAACAAAGTGGATGAATCTAAAAATAATTATCCTGAATGAAAGACACCAGTATGTCCTACAATGAGGATATACTGTATGATTCCATTTATATAAAATTCTAGAAGATATAAACTAATTTATAGTAATAGAAAGCAGATCAGTGGTTGCCTATGGACTGGGGTAGGCAACAGGAAAGGAGGTAGTGATTACAAAAGGGCAGCAGGGAACATTTAAGTGTGATGGATATGTTCATTATCTTGACTATGGTGGTGGTTTCACTGGTATATACATATATCAAAACTTCAGGTAAAGTTGGCCCTGTCCCAGTAGTTCAGTTGGTTAGAGCACCATCCCAATATGCCAAGGTTGCAGATTTGATCCCCCATCAGGGAACATACAAGAATCAACCAATGAATGCATAACTAAGTGTAACAACAAATCAATGTTTCTCTCTCTCTCTCCTCCTCTCTCTAAAATCAATGATTAAAAATACTTACTAAAGTTTACATTTTAAATGTATGGTGTTTGCTGTATGCCAAATCTCAATAAAACTGTTCTAAAAATAAAATAAAAGCACTGTTAGTTCAAATATTTAAACAGCTAGAGTTGTATAGGTCAGATAATTTTAAATAAAAGTCACATTAGTAATGATAACTATGTGAGGTGATGCATGTGTTAATTCACTTGATTGTGATAATCATTTCACAATGTATACATATATCAAATTATCATGCTGTACTCCTTAAACATATACAGTTTTTGTCAATTACATCTTAATAAAGCTGGAAAAAATAAATAATAGTTACATTAACTGCTGAAAAAATGTCAGGGG